TCTCTCTGGCAGTCCCTGTCATGGAGTGAAGATCCCTTTGTGGGTTTCAAAGAGGCAGAAATGGAGTGGAAATGTTGTGCTATTTGCTTCTGTACTCTGTGAGGATTTTCTGAAGAATGTCCAGATTGCTCATTGCAATCAGCTACCCTTTATTCACTGATGTTAGAGGAAACCAGACATTTGAGATATTCATGTCACGAGCATTGTTTGGCTTTTATGCCTTCTCTTCCAAGACAGCTATATTGCTGAAGGCCAGATGGCACCCTGAGATGCTCTGCTGTAAATCACCAGCATTTCACCAGTCCCACAGTTCAGAGCAAGCAGAATCAGGCCCTCCCACCCAAGACACAGTATTACTGGGGATGTAGCTGGGGACTTCCATTTGTTTGCAATTAGCTGCTGGCACTGGGAAAGCCCTGAAGTCACCATGGTCTCTGGGCAACAGATAAAGCTTTTGTTTTTGCAGAGACAAAAGGCAGAGCAGGCCAAACCAACACAGAGTGTGTGAGCACTGAGAAGCCTGATGAAAGGCAGTAAAGAATGTCCAAAGTCAGCAACAAATAATATGGCAGCAGGAAAGAGAAATCTTATAGTAGTTAAACGTGAAGAAGGAGGGACTGGAAGGGGAAGGAGGAGGGGAGGAGGCAGGATGGCTGGGTGCCCAAAACAGTGATACACTGGGTGAGCACTGCTAGGACTCACATGGGAGCAAGCCACGTGGGAACTGTGCAGAGGGAGCTGCACAGCTCAGACCTACTCTTCTCCTGCCCACAGAGCATCCCTCTCCAGGCTTTATCTCGTACAGCCAAATATCTGGGAAGCCTTGCTTTTCCTTGTCATATCTCCATTATCTTTTTACATTACCCCTCCAAGGAACTGAAATACTTTCTCTTAACAAAATCCTGCATGTGGTGAAAGAGGTGAATGTGAAATTAGATGATCTGTAGTTGTTTACTTGCTTGACAAGCTATCCTGCGTCTGGTGTGATGCTTTTCCAACACCCAACAAAGAGATAGAGACTTGCATTGTTTGCAACGTGTATGTTCAACTAAGAGCTCAGCAAAGCAGATCTTCACAATGAAATCTATGAGGTAGGGATGGTTTTTATCATTCTGTGTTTGCACAACTCTTGCACAGTGGGGCCTTGTCCCAATTATAATGATGATGGACAGGGAGAAAATCACACTGGGGGATGAGATGCAAGAGTAGGGGGATGCAGGCTTGTACAATAGAAACATCTTGGAAATGCCCCTGGAATCTTCCCCCTTTCTTGGCAAGACCAGATGTCTGTTCTGGAGATCCCAAGGGGCAGAGAGTGGTATCAATCCCTCAGTAACAGGGCTGGGGTAGATTGCTTATCAGGTAATAATACAGGTAGGAAAAACACTGGAACAACCAGGCTGAGGAAAGTTACTATGAGGACCTTAATTTTGAATGTGGACACTTAACATGATGGTAGTCATCTGCCTGCTTTTGTGGCCATAGATCTGTCATACAGGGTTTGATGTCTGTTTGCATTCAGAGTATTTATATTTTGAAAGGAAGAAGTATTTCCTCTCTTTTTCCTCCTTCTTTTCCAAATATTTTGTGCAGAACTATTTTACTAGTGCTCCGCCCAGTGGGAAGGCCCTAATTTAGAAAACATGGGCCAGGCTATGCAATAGGGTTCAGCATTTGCTCACGTAAGTGGCCTTCCCTTTGCATATGAATTGTACAGTGTAGTCTGAAGTATTTTAAGAGTCTCTCTGCTGCTCAGAGGTAAACAGATAGCGTGTGCTAGATATTAAACTTACATTGATTTTATGTATTGCTGTGGTACTGTGTATGGAAGGACTTGGCAATTTGGGATTTGTTACACACTCTGAACCACATCCAGAGAGTCTTTTCTTCAGATTTGCTGTTTTTACAGGCAATGTACAAACATGTTTCACCACAGCCAAAATCTTCTTCCAAGCACTGCAATAAATTATGCGGCATGCTAGGCAGCTGGAAGTGATTGCAGATCTTTGGGGTGGAAGAATCACACACGTTTTGGAGGTTTCAGTCAGCTATAGCAGCATTTTAAGCCTCTGTCCTTCTGTTGTTAGCCTGTGTTCTTCCACCTCTCAACAGACTGTTCTAGACTTCACCCTCTGTTCAAGCCACAGTGGTCTGGCTTGGGTTTGCTGAAAGCCTAAAGCACCCTCTTGGTTCTGCCAGCTCACAGAGATGGTGTGTCAGGGTTCAGCTCTCTGTTTGTTGGCAGTGGGAAGGAAGCAATAACAGGTCACCATTTTTCATCAGCAGCTACTGTGAGGAACGGGTGGCTGTGGAGGGAGGTGCTGGATGGCATGTGAGCTGAGGACACACTGATGTGCCAAAGGGTGGTGCTGTGGCAGGCAAGAGAAGACAGATCAGACTTCACAGATGGTCATGAGCCAGAGAGCATAAGCCAAACAGCTCCTCAGCATCAGTCAGGCAGCTCCACAGCTCCTCTCTGAAAGGACCCTGGATCCTGCTCGGATACAGTGGCTGCAAAGGACAGAAAGGAAATGTCTTACCATCTCTTTCAGAGACTGGAAATGGATGACTGGCCCTAGCAAGAGAGCACTGACAAGGATGAGGAAACAGGAAGATGCTGATGACTGGCAGAGACTGCCAGACAGCTTTAAATCACCAAGACTTGTCTCCTGAGCTGTGGCAACTGGGGTTGAGAGAAAAGAGGAGGTCTTCAAAGAGACAGAGGAGAGTATGAAGGACAAATAAGAGTCGGGGGCAAAAAGGGACAAAGGAAGAAACTCATGTAGTTCCTACAAGAAAAGATCACCGGTGTGAGCACTCCTGCCAGAGGGGACCTATGTGAGCAGACCCCCCCTCTGAGATTTGGGACATTCATGGACCAGGGACAGGGCTGCAGCCTTCTCTTGCTGCCATGCTTCTGCCCCTCCAGCTGAAGGGCAACCTTCATGACCAGAAATGGAGGCCTTTTTCCCCTAATCTGTCTCCCGTGTAACAGCAGGAGCCATCTTCAGCCTCAGTCCAAGTGGAGCTGGGGTGGCTGATGATGCACTGATGTTATTAATCACAGACAGGCTGAGGAATGCTCCCTTGGAACCGGGGCTTTCTGCATATGGATTTCTGAGTCCAGAGGGATCATTAGCTCATCTTGTCTGACCCTATTTGTAATAGAGGCAAGAGAACTTCATCCCATGTCCCTTGAGAGCCCGTTGAGCTGTATGTGTCCAACACCACAATAGCATTCAGCTTCACTCTGAAGACATAAGAAGGATCAGGGCATTCCCCCCCTCTCTTGGGGAACATGTTCCAAAGGCTAATCAGTTCCACACTTAGAAATCTGTTTTCAGTTTGGTTTTCTCTGGCTTCAGCTTCTAGACCTTGGGTTTTTTTGTTTTTTCTTTATTTCATTTTGCCTTTGCTAGTCTCAAAGCTACATATTTGTTTTGTCTGAGGGACTCCAGAGATGACTTGAGAGCAAGTATCTTTATAAAACAGGGAGATTCTCACCAGAAGCTAGGACTGACCCTCATTGTGTAGCATCACAGCAGCTCCTAGGTAACATCCTCAGTGGTAGCATCTTCAGTGGTAACATCCTCAGTGGTAACATCCCCAGATGGTCCCAAGAAGCAGGAGCATTTCCCATTCTGTCTTCTGACCTATACCATACCAGGGCCTAATAAATCCAGACCATAATCAGTGTCAGGATGGCTGAGGCCATGAACGTAGCTGATTGCCTTCATCTTGATAATATTGGAAAGAATATGTCTATGAAGAGAGCCTCTAATTCCTAGGCAGTTCACAGATACTTTGTCACAATGCTTTGCTGAGGAAGAACCAAAACTTTAACATTCAAAAGACCTGATGACAGGCACAGTAAAATGCTCCACAGAACATGGGGTCTTTCCTTAACATTAATGTGTCATTTTGTAGCTAATTACTCCTGGTGCATTTCCCAGTGGCCTGGGAAACTCTCATTGACCATCTGCACTTACAATTACCTGCTCAGTTATTCATAATCTCTTACTAAATCATTGATGGATTTGCAAAGGGATCATCAGTCATCTGAATTTCCTTGTTCTGTTTTTTGCATGTCTTTTGCCTTATGTCAATCTGGCCAAGAAATATTTATTGAATAAGAAGCCCAGTAATGCCCAAGCACTATTTAGCTGTTATGAGATATTAAATCATCCCTAGCTTTTGCTCCAGCCAGAGGTGTACATGGTGCTGGGATTCACCTGTGTTGCAGTAGATGAACGGAGGACTAACATGCTGGAGCAGGACAGCTGTGGAGGGAGCAGGATGACCTGAGGAAACACTTGGCTCCTGTCATGGGTAGTCGGAGATGGGGGAAGACACTGACAAAAGCCAGTGTTCAATTCATGGTTTTTAAAAACACAGCAAAATCCCTACAACATCCTCCAAGCTAGGATTATACATCCAGGATCTCAGGCCAGTCTTACAAGTCTCTAAAACCATTCCCCACCTCCAAACTGAAGGCTGACCCTGCTGTGCCCAGGGAAAACCAGCCCCAAGGAGGGTGCTGTTCACCACATCTGCTCTTTAGTCAAATGTATCCCCCCAACACCCCCCAGGCTCTTCAGAGAATCCCTCATCCTTCCCCCAGCACAGGTGACAATGGCATGCCTGTTGCTGTAGCAAAAACAGCTCATATTTTTCCAGTTCCACTGAAGTCAACCAGCTGCAGGAGACAAGGTAAGGGGGAAAAAAAATGTTAAAAAAAAGTTTGGGTTTCTGTTTAGAGAGCAAGTGGTTAAGCCTTTCTTTTTGAATGTGGCACATTTCAATCTGCTAGGCTGCTGCTCCCTGACAGACCCCATGGGCACTTTGCTTCAGGTTCCCTGCAGAGAGTCTGACCCCATGGCACTACATGGAAGCATCCTTGAAACTGGACACTTAAACTATATATGAATGTTTTTTTTCTGATATGAAGATCTTAGCTGTTTGTATGTAAGGAAAAAAATTAGACGCAAATAATAATTTCATTTAGATAGACATTTTTATTAAGAAAATTTTAAGTACATACACATTTATGGGAGAAATTACAACAACATTAAAGTGTTTATTTTCAAAATAGTCTATGAAAGGAGTAATTTCAAAAGCATAATATAACTCCTCCATAAAAGCTGCCTTACAGGAACACAAATACAAATCCCTTTTCACATTATTTGGGAAGATATTTCTTTTTACTTACTAAAAATATAAAGTACAGTATTTACCACATTCTGACAACACTGAGTTCTTAAGGTGTGGAAGATGGGAGATTCATGCAGCCCTTTCATCATGATACATGTTTTCTTCTCTGTGTCCACCAGAGTTTCATGTTTGCAGACAAGGCTTGTCTTGGTGGAATGTTGGTAAAGAAAAAATTCTGATTTTAGGTGATGAGTTCTCAGAAACCCCTGGTTACTATAAATCACATCACTCAAAACAAGTTGACAGAGAAAAGAAGGACCCTCTAGATGCTAACAAAGGGAAAATAGCAACAAAAGCTTCTATAGGAACTGCATTTTCAATTAAATGTGCATATTTAACTTCCAATATAGCCTTCATTGCAAAATGAACAGTCACCTTTGCTCGAACACCTTAGTTAAAAACACATCAGAAAGTCACTCTTCATCCTTCCTCAGGCAGAATTCAGACAAGATATTCATACATACAAGTATAAAGCTAGTATAAATTAAAAAATGGCACAGAAATAAATACCATCTAATCTTAAAAAAAAAAAAATCCAACCTTATGATTCACCAGCTGCACTTAGAAAATACCACATGTGATGATTTCACATTTATGGAAGCTGCTTTTTCAACACCAGTTCAGTGTTATCTCTTTTCCCTCCTCTTCACGTGTGGTCCCTACATCACTCCTATCTCCCCATGCTTCCTTTCCCTGATTCAGTCTCTGGTCAACAGTTAAAGGCAGAAAGGAAAATCAAGTTCTCTTCCCCAAACAGGTTGCTGCTAGTGCTGCTTCTCAGCCTGGTAAGACCGTGGTGAGCACAGGAGGAACAGCGTGTGATGCACAGGGTAGCACAGGGAGCTTCGGGCAGCCGAGTGGTTGACTTCTCTAGTGCCAAGAGCATGGCTGCTCTTCCCGATGTGTCATGCAAATAATGTCAGGCAAAGAGCAACGCTTCTCACTCAAGGTTTAATTTTGGTTTAAAGCAAGAGAAAGCTTTTATCGGGTTCTCGCTTAAGTCTTCAGTTACTCCTGGCCAGGTTTGTGCCACCCCTGCATTCACACTGTGCTCTACATTGCCCAGGCAAGGGAGGGACATGGTGCTGGTCCCTGAGAGCAGCCCATGTCCTGAGTGGTTTCAGCTACACAAGTATTGAACTGTCACAATCACAGCAGTGTCAGGGCCCAGGTCACAGTGTGAGTCTTAAGAAATGCATGGGCAGACAGACCACAAGGTACCCAGACATCCACCACCTGGCTGTAAATGTTCCTTAACCTTGCAGGGAGTCCCTTTCCTTCCTGCTGCTACTCATGCATTTCTCCCAGGAGCAAATGTCCTTCCTTCAGCACAGTCTACCCCTGCAACACTCACTAGTTTGCCCCCAGAAGAGAAGGTTGACAGGTGACCCTATTTCCTGCAATACCTCCCTTCCCTGGCTATACTGTCCAGAGCTGGGACCCCAACATTTGGCCAGGGTGCTCCAGCACTGCCCATCTCAATGCTTCTGTCAAAGTAGTCTGTTTGCTCAGGCTGTAACCTGGGGTTGGCACATGCCCAGAGACCTTTCCCTGCTGGTACCAACCCCAGATGCACTCCCTGTTAACACGGACTGCAGCAGAGAGCTGGCAAGGCTATACAGTCACATCTACCCACCCCATCTTTATAGTAGAAAGCAAATGTTTCCCCTAGAAACAAAACTTTAATGGCCCCTATCATAATCAGCAAGGTATGCTGTTGAATCAAAATCGGAACATAATTTAATTCTCCATTCATTCCAATGGGAATTGATCAGACCTGAAGCTGTCCTTTGATAGAAAGCATGTGTGAAGAATACACCTCCCTGGATGAGAAGGACAAGCCCTGTGTCTGTGTCAGATCCAAGATTCTTTCACACTTTCCCCAAAGTCATTCTTGGCTTTGACACTCATATGTCCGCCTCTGGAAACCCACTAGAAATTGCAGGTACATGTGTGGGGACAGAAAGTGGACCCTAGGATATAAAGTACAGTCCAGGGGAGATATAAGCAACCCTATTTTGGTCAAAAAAGTTCTTCCTGTCCTTACCCTTACAACAGAGGATCTGATCCTTCCCATATTAAATCAATACTCCAATTCTCATCAAGTACAGTGGTACCAGACCTTTCAAAACAGAGACAGAATATACTTAAAGCACCACATTGGCAATTATACCAATAGAAGGAATGTCAAAATCACAAACATACATTTTAGGCACAGCAGTTGGTTTCTACTTTAAAACAAATGAGGTGATGTTGTCCCAGCTGAAGCACTCTCTGTAATAGCACTGTTTCACAGAGAGGAAAATACTTACAAGATTTTACCTGAATCCACATGGAAATAAGGTAGTCCCTGGCTAGAGGAAGTGTCTCTTTGGCACTAAAGATACCTGCCACAAAAAGGAGTGCTTAGTGAAACACCCCTCTCAGTGTTTCTGACACAGGCTGCAGGGAAGAAGATTCCTTCTGAAGCCACCCGCTCAAAAAAGAAAAAACAAATACAATCTTACATTTTTTTTGTTTACAGTACACACACAGATACATACAAACACAAGCACTGTGCTGTACAAATGCGCTTCCCCCGGATCCTAGTGCACAGCATAACATGATTATTGCAGCACTGCAGGTGTCCTTCCATACGCTATATAGCAAAGATATTGTGTATACAGGCTGGAATCAGGAGAAAGAAATTTCTGGCTGAGAGAGGGGATTGGTGAAAGGGGTAGTACCTGTCCCCAGGTGTACTTTGCAAACGAAATTACAGAGACTATCCCGTTCACCAGCAAACGGGGCCATGATCGCTGGTGAACTGTGAGTGTTGGCTTTCATTTCCACACCCAAGAAACACTACTCCTTCCACAAACTGGGCACACCCTCTCTTGCCCCAGATATCTCTTTTCTCCAACAATATGGCCAGGCATCCTCTTCTAGGTATCTCTGGAGCAATCAAAGATGTTACTGCCCTCAGGTGCATGTGACTGTTCAGTAGCAGAGGCTACAGCGTCCTTGGTGAAGGGCCACACAAATGCATGTCCACCTACTTCAGTGCAAAGCTAGCCAGGTGAGCTGAAGCCACCTCCCGTGGATGGGTGGGAAGAGACACCTGGTGCATGGCAGCATATCTGATGTCTCCAGCAATTTGCAACATGATCATGTGGTGAGACCTTTAATAACTCTTTCCTTTTTGTGCTAAAATTTGTCATCAGAAACACAGGAACATAGGAAATGCCAGGTGACATCAGATCAGTGTTGTGGCTCCTAACACTCACAACTACTACAAACCAAGTGCTAGCACCTTGCAATACCAGATGTGCATTGACCCAGCTGCTCATAGCTGTCACCAAGATCTCTGATCTTCAGAGAAGGGCTTTAGTCCTGTAGCCCTGAGTTTAATCCCTCACCCAAAATACCAATAAATGCCACCCACAGTAATGCTGTCCACTCTCATAAATGTCTGATGCTTTTTAGCCTTCCTATGTTCTTGGCCTTGATGACTTCTGGAGGCAAGGAGTTCCTCCACTACTTACGCAACATCATTGCACTGTACAGTTCATGTCCTTCTAGGTTTAAAACTCCAGGAGACTTGCATGAACCAAAAGAAAGTTAAATAAAGCAGAACCTCTACATAGCAAAGGAAATAAAATATATAATAACATAAGGTTAGTTTAAATTCATATCTGCCCTCAGTGCTGGGTAATAAACATATTTTTTTATAAAAAAATATGTTTATTTTTATGTATAAAAACACATTTTTCTGAAATAGTTACATCTTACTATATAAAAATAACACTGTGAAAGCAAGCCAATTCGTGCAAGAAAAAACAAAACAAAACAAACCCAAAAACAACCGACAAAAAAAAAACAAACTAAAAAAAAAAACCTTTGGAAATGCATGAAGCGTTGCTTTTGTGCAGCATGATAATAGTGAAATGTATTCATTCCCTAATACTGGTTATCTGCTCTCTGGGTCCTACAGTAAGAAATCCTGTAGACGGCTTACAATGCTTGACTCTTACATCTTGAACCTCCTGTTGATGAAGAACAGAGTGAAATACTATTAAGGTTTATTTCAGTTGCAAAAGCTTTGATATCAGGCCTACTCAAACAGCAAATCTGTGTCTGAACTAACCCAAAGGCATTTCTTTTGCAGCCCCTCCAACTAGTATTTGCCAAACATTTTGGGGGGAGTTCTCCACAAGGAGCTACTGGGACCCAGCAGGGTAAACCCAGCAATGGGAGTTATTTTGGGCAGGTTGTGCTCATCACAGTTAGTAAGGTGTTCAGAGCTAACACAGAAGGAAGACTTGCTAGGAAGCTTAATCTGGACTTGGAAGCCAGAGCAGAGAATTATCAGTGGGCAAAAACACTTGGCAAAACAAAACAGCAGGGAAAGGAGGGATTAATCATTTGTGAGCAGCCCCAGTAGTGGAGCAAGTGGTACTGGGAATGCCTCCTCTGCCTGCCCCTACCCCACAGCTCTGCTGGAGACCATGGATTGCAGCTCCACAGGGTTCCAGGTCTCTGTGAGGATGCAGGAGCACAGAGGACAGTCCACTGTCTGCTCTTGTTGGTGTTCAGCTCCCACCACGGTATGGCTGGAGAGCAGAGGCCTCCGCATGTGCTGCCCAGCCAGGAGCCATCCCCACGGCTACCCTGCTCTGGGACCTCATCTGCTGTGAGCAGCTGGGTAGCACATCACAGCTCGTGGTGACCAGCTGCCCAGTGAAGGTGGGGTGACAGGGAGGGCGAGCAGCCATACGCTGCACAATAAGTGTGTGAGGTGTTAAGTGCAGAGGTAGGGAGCTCAGGGTAGGAGGTAGACAATTCGAGTCTGCCATGCTCAGCGTGAGCATGGTACCCAGTGGGAGTGGTAAGTTAGGCATCACAACAAAGTGCAAATGCATTGTGTTCAGGGTTCACTCAGAACAAGGAGCCAGTCTGTGCTGGTGGCATGCAGGTTTTGTCTGAAGTGACTCCAACTCCTGCTCCAGGGTGATTGGCCTTTTGCAATCTAGATGAGGTCACTAAGGCTGTCAGAAGTGTCAGAGGGTAAACACCAGGTATTCAAACCCCTCTGATGACCCAGCATGTCTTGTCTAACCTACAGGATCAGAACAAACATCCCTTTCAATGCCTGCTGAACAAGTAAGACTGTGTGACCACAGCCAGAAACAGTTGTGGTTACTCTCAGTGAGGGTAGCCTTGGAAAACTTATCCAGGCATAAAAAGGATGACTAATCCATGAACAAAAATTTTCTCTTTGAAAATATCTTTTCCAATATCCCACACCAGTAACAGTACTTCTTTTGGTGCAGAAAGGCAGGATGCACCATCCTGGTGAGGAAAAAAAAAAAAAAAACAACAACAAAAAAAAACCAGGGACATCCAGAGCATTGACATATGTAAGACCGTTCTTTGGGACTTGCTTAGCATCTCCCATAGAAGTGTCAACCAGTCACCAATGCACCAAATCATGTTGTCACCACCCAGTGCTGCATTTGTCATTAAAAAACCACCAGTGACAAAATCACAGCTGTTATTTATAGTTTAACTCTGTCAGTTTGGTATTGCAGCAATATGGCCAGCTAAAAGAAATAGGACTTCCAAACCTTTACCCTGTTTTTGACTTTGGCTTTTTTTCAGGATGATTTTGACTGCTTTGGGTGTCCATTTTCCCATCTGTAAAATGGGGAAATTTTCCCACCTCTGTTATGGCTGAACTTTCCCCCTGTTTAAAAGTTTTATCTATATAATACTCCTTTGCAGTGAGGGTATAGATGTTATCCTCAACAGATATAGGGAAAAATTGAAGTCTGAATAGGCTAATATATTTGCCCAAGGTCACATAAGATGATCAGTGGAAGAGCAGGGACTTGAACCTGAGGTATCCCAGCTCAGAAACTAATGCCTCCTACCATTCTTTCTCCCTGAAGACTTTAGTGGTGTTGCACGGGAAGGGCAGAGTGGGCCCCGTTTCTTCTGTTGCTTTTTTTTATGAGTGCGATGACGTGGTCTACATTAAAAGAAAAATACAAAAAGACTGCCATAAATTATCCATATACAAAGGCCTTATTCACATTTATCCTATGGTCCCTTCAGATCTTGCTGGCAAGGTGCAAATGAAGATAACACCCCTTTTCATATTTGGTCCCCCCTTCATATTCCTCTGCTTCAAAGGAATGCTAAGCAAATTAAAGTGCCTTGGTGACAGGACATTTGCAAATTTTGAGGCCAGAAGAACCCTTTTCCCCAAAACACCGAAATGTCCCCAAATGGCTGCCAGAACTTGTCAACCAGGAACCTCACTATCCACACAGTACACCCCAAGGTACAACAGAGAGCAGAGGGGGGATGGATTTCTAGCTTCCCATGCAGCATTCCCACTGACATCAACAATAACTGGTGGCTATTCTATGGGATTTGTGGACATTTTGTGCCTTAAAACAAAGCTGTAAAGACAGTCACCTACATTGTCTCCCACTGTGTGGGACATTCACCCAACACATGCTTGGTGGAGTACAAGGAGGTATCTGTTTTGGCATCTGGTACTTCAACCCTTATTTACAAATGAAGTCAGAAACTAGGAAGAGCTGCCGCACCCAGTTTTACAAATGCTGTGTAGGAAGGCAGCAGCAGTGCTTGGCTCCTATCACAGCCAGCCCCTAGAAGTTGGGAGTTTCCTTTCCTTCCTCCAAGTAGGCTCAAGGGAAAAATTTTTCCTATTTTACTTCTTCATCTTCTTCATATCCATCAGCTCTCTTGTCTGTGCCAGCAGTAGCTGCTGAGCTTAATGGACTCCAGCATCTCGGACTGAGGGAAGTTCTGAGGTGGGACTACATTAATGTGACAATGGACAAGCTTGTCTCTGTTTATTTTGGGCTCTGTTAACTCTGCAAAGGCCTGATTTTGCATATCCTTGCATGAAGGAAGAAGGGAAAAGCAGTCAATGCACTATAAATGATGACTGGGATTGCCTATAAGTGATACAGGATTTGTTAGCTATTTCAGGAAAGGACTAATTTGCCCCTTGTCTATAAAATGGATGAATGTTGAATGATGTTGACCACAGCAGCTGCACAATGATTTTTAATGCCAGTTAAGGAATTTAGATTCCTGACAGCCTGCATGTATTTTACTGATGTCTCATAAGTGTGTATATTACATGGAAATGTGATGAATATAAAGCAATAATAAATGCTAAGCATAATTAGTGAGCAAAATAATTCCCTACAAAAAACACCTCGGGTTTCACTATCGACTACTATATTCTATGAACTATATTGGACTACTATATTCTATGAAGTTTTCCTTGCCCTTAGCTGCAGAGTATAGTACTGAAGTTACTCTCATAATGAAGCATTGGTATAGATTAAGATGTTTTGACAGTTTGGATTTTACTTAAGCAATTACAGGAGCCCTTTCTACAAAACGTATTGATTTTATTCCAGAAAAATAAATTCCCATGTACAATTGGGTTTTCATAACATGAAACAATTAGCCATTTTATTGCTAGTGCATATAGGGTAATGTCACATTTCATACAATTTCAGTACAAGTGAAAAAATATAATATATGGCTGATTGAAATTGATAGCTACATTAACATTTATAGATCTATATAGATTTATTTTACAAGCTGTTAGTAGTTTAGAGGGATATCGGTGTTTTAAACTACCAACATTCATATGGCTCCAATTCAAATATATGAATTGTTTGATGCACTATAAATATATTCCAAAGTACATTTCATTGAAGAAGTCAAAGCTGTGCACTAAAATATATCAAAAACATGCTTTGTGAAAATGCTACAGACAGAGCCCTGACTGTCTGTGGAGCATGAAAATGCCACCGGTGCTAACATTACTAGTTGGAAAATGAAAACAATGCCATGATTACAGGATTAGGTGATGGAGATATATTCTTTCTGTCATTTTATTTCATAGAGCTGGGACCAAATTCTCTTCTGTTAGTCAATGTAAACCAGGATGAAATCCACCAAATCAGCAGAATTGCTTCTAAATTAGCATTAGGTAAACAAAACCCAGAATCTGGCTTGAGATCAGGCACAGGCTCACTGGTTTCTGTAGAGCTGGCCCCAGATTTTCACTAGTAAAAGTGAGAGCAGAACATATTCCAGCTGTGTCGTCCCCCTAAGTCAGGCAGGCAGGATCTGAGCACATAATCACATTTGCCCAACCCTACAAATTTCTTAAGTGCCTCCTAAATTTCAAGTCTTATGAACAACACCAAGGGCTTCATTGGGGATGACAGCAGACAGAAAATTAGGCAGGGGCTTGAGGATTTTCCCAAATTGGAAAATAAAGTAGCTCAAGCCCCTAGGATAGTCAGCATGGGCCACATCCTGCTCTTGAGTTCAGTTGTGTTTAAATCCAAAGCCATCCTGGCATCATTAACCTGGATTACCTCTGCAGAGAATTTGACCAAAGGACAAGAGGGCTGAGTGCTGGCAGCAAAGAAGGCACTGAGCTTCAGATGAGATGGGAAGAGCTGTCAGGGCTGGAATCTCAGTCAGTTTGTTAGCTGGTTTCCTTACCTCCTCCTCCTCCTCCTCCTCCTCACTCTTGGCCCCAGTGTGGTCCCAAACGGGCCACATGGAGGAATCTCTCTGCTTCTGGTAGCATTTTTCCCCTTGCTTATTGTAAAAACACAAGGGAACAAAGACTTTTTTTTTTTGCTCTACCACTTGTATGGCAGATGCATTTACAAAGCAAACAGTGGAGGGCATTTAGCTACCTGTTCTGCCTCACATCTGCCCTGGGGCCATACCCTTCCCCACCTCTCTCCAAGAATGCATTGCTTTTGCAAATGACTGGATTCCAGCTCTGCCTTTACCCTACAGATGCAGAGGGGGGCAAGGTTCAGCACATTACAGCATGGTTACTGAGGGATGAGAATGTGGTGGCAAGGGTGGGAGGGATACTGAGTGCACAGGTAGGCTTGCTGGCCAAAATGCTGCTGCTGGATCAACCACAGTCCAGAGCTCTAGGCAAGCAAGGAAATGCTTTGTACCATCACTTGTCTCATCTTCCATCCCAGGAAGGCTGGAGCCCTCTCCTGCAACTCAGCACATAAATGTTCTCTGTGCTGTTCTTGCTCACCATGAAATTGAACTGAGGTAGGCTGGGTCCACCTCAGAGTAGCCAGGATCACCCACTTTCAAGGGGAATAAAAATAGATTTTAAAAGTCTGAATTTGCCAAGTGTGGCTGGTTTTCCCCTGGCCTTGTGGGAGAGCCTTTTTCATTGCAGTGCATCTCGCCTTGGCTGATATTAATAGCACTCCACACTGGCCAGCAGAGAAGCAATTTTTAGCGCCAAGACCCCCTAGGCCTCAGCTGCCTGTGCAAACAGACCTCCACAGTGTAACATGGAGAAGGGGCTCCAAAGAAACTGGAACAGTATAGATTCTGAAGTAATTGTAGTTTGGCTTGGGGAAGAGGGGGCATAAAGGAAACATTTTCCTTGGGAGAACGGCTTTTTTTAAATGAGGATGGGTTGGGGACCCCAGAACAGTTTCATTAGGATAGATTTTGCCTCAAACACTGGCAAAACTCATAATTTAACATTTAGAATATACTAGAAGCTGCTGTTTTAATACAGACTAGGTCAACTCCAAACCCATCTTCAATACAATATCTGATTCCACGAGTACTTTGTCCACATGGTAAAAGCCAGCCCTTAATGTTCTACCCTTTAATAACTCAGGATGTTAGCTGCTAAGTCCATTTGTCTCTTGCCTTACTTGTTTAAAGCTTTCTCCAGATACTCCTGGATCCACTTTAGCTTGGGATCAATGCACACTTGCTTGCTGTTGCTCTTGAGCCTTGCACTGCCAAAGAAGAAAAGTCAGAGTGAGGCTACTGTGTAACTGTTCCTCAGCCCGCACCCACCACCCACCCCAGGACGCCTTGTTCTCCTTGGGTGTCAGTGCTGCTCTCAGTTAACCCATGAAAAGAGTGTGTTGTCCCTGCCATCCTCGAGGCACCTGTGATAAATATGCCTGGTTTCAAAGCACTGGTACCATCTGTCTCCTCTGATGCCAATTCTTGTGGTCTGTACTGGGATGCATGTGGGGGTGGGACAGATACAGAAATTGAATCTAAGTTTTCCAATTTATACCTGGGCTGTTATGAGTTCAGTGCCAACAACAGATAAATTTAATTTGGAAATACTGACATGGTAATTACACGTTATTTTTGCAAGGAATTAATTAAGAACAGCTTTCAGATTTAACCCCAAATTGGAGTTTCACATGTTTTGAGGACAAAACACAAACCCATACCTCTAGGATGTTCTGAAAGGGTCTGGTCACTTGTTAGCTTTTTGTTTTATAAACTGAACTAACAGGTTGCAGGCAGGAAGACAACTGGAAGTACCATAGTACCAGAGGCAAGTTTTCCCTCATGTATTCACTCAGCACTGGAAACAAAAGCAGAAACCTCCTGAAGGGTTTCTACTGGATGTCCAAGCTGCACTTTCCACACCAGACTGTTTAGTTAATTCCCTGTGAATTTGGCATTTTGGCTCTCTACATCTTTCATGCAGAAGCAGTACGAACAGTTTTGCACCCTCATCAGCAGGTCTTACCCTCCATGGATTTCAGAGCCTCTTGAGAGTGCTGTGATCTCCCACTTCCCCTAAGCACCCTGCCTCTGCCCCAGCTGCTCAGAAATTTCCCCTCGAACTGCCTGCCTGACATGCAAAAGTGCCAAGAACAGCAATTTCATGGAAATGCTTATAGGAATAAGTTCAGTATTTGTTTAAGCATTTTGTAGAATGGAAACCAAAATGCTTTCCACTTTATAAAATGAAATCTGAAGAATATAAAACAATGGCATCAGAAATAACAGGTCAAAAAGGCTCCCTGGTCTGAAGTTATGCAACAACACAGTTGTAACACAAACACATCAAAGATCCAGTCTTGCAAGCCCTGTGCCAATAAAGAGATGAATGGGCCCAATTCATATTTCCCTTACAGCAGTGCCAAGCTGGAGTATTTCCAGTGAAGTGATACCAACTGAGAGTAAGAATGGATTTGCTGATGTTAGCAATGCCTGGGAACTCTTGAGCTGGCTTCACAGGGTACAGAACCAAAAGCACACGTAACCAGACTCCAGCCACGTGCAATGCAATTCTTTTAATCTAATATTAAGACACTGATTTTTTTAAACATTTATTTCTGAGCCTGTCAGCCCCTGCTCCTTGTACAGTCAGAGCAGAGACCTAGACAACTGTATGGAGTGTTAATCTGAAATTATTTAGGTGTCTAATTTAGGATGCAATTAATTGCATGCTAAAAATGCCATTTCCCTGTACTGAAAATCAGGGAAATTAGGGTGGGCTTTGTAGAAGTAGACATTGACAGAAGAGATTTATGGATTTGGAGAGATGACTTCCAATAGAACTAAAGACAAAAACCTGCTCCTACCTTTTTGTTCAGGTACAATTCCCCCCAAACATAAAAGGGAATGTACCTGTGCAAAAAAAAAATACAAAATCTTACCTTGAAACTATATGTCTTCTCTAAGATTCCCTCCTGAAAACAGTAGCTTTTAAGTTACATACACCTTCACTGTATAATGCATATCCACTAAACACAGAGTGTTCTTAAAACCATCAAGATGAGAAATTTATATGTTAGTTTTGATTCCATTTCTGCTTCTGCCTCAATAAAGACCTAGTTCAAATTTATGATGTTTCAGGTTTATTTGGAGGTGAGTTTTTAAGTACCTTACTTTTTAAAGTAACAAAAGATGGTGAATTACAGGTTCATGTGTTCTGTGTGCCACTAAATCACATTGCAAACAAACATATCTGTGTCAGGAATGGACAAGAACATGAGTTGTTTGTGTTTCTGCATTTCATGTTCTTATCTATAATTACTATAATCCCACATTAATTAAGAGATAAATATATACTGTATCCTGTCTTAAATGCCTGTCATTTTCTTGAAACTACTCCAGAAAATTCCAAATCCTCTCAAAGCCTCAGCACTGGGGACCCTTATGAAATCCATTGACAGTCCCAGAGCACAAATCCATACACTACTGCATTTTGGATGCCTGCCTCCACAATTGTTTATAGGTAGAGGTCAGAGTTAGTCACAGCTGGTTTTGCCATTTTTGTGAAAGGAAATTATTTCTCAGCTGAGGCTTACATTTTTCTTACTGCCCTCAACCAAATCCTAAGGCAGAAGCTTGCATGAGAAAATGCATATGATCTACCTAGAGTGGTTTTAAAAAGAAAAAGAATCTTATGAATAAAAACTGGTTCATGAATGGATACATACTCTTCAATATATCTGTAGACTCCTGAGAAACCTCATGAAACTACAGCAGTTTTCTGAGTGCAGAAATATTTCAGATGACAAAGAATGGATTTCTACATCATTTGAGTTGCGAGTGGCAGAGCTTGATATGGATAGAAGACAGAACTAGTGATGGGAGCACTGCACAGAAACCCAATATAATCACTGAGACCCTCTTACAGTGGTCAACAAAGTTGGTAATAGTAAGGCTCCCTTGTAATGAAAAGATGAATGCTATTTTTTCTCTTCTGAAGATTTTGTATTTTGGGCATTTCTGTCCTGCTGTGATCTGTGATTTACTGGAGTCAGCCACTGCCTGGTAAGTGTGCCCCTAGATCAGGCTAGCACATGTTTAGGGTCTGTACCTCCTGTGGAGGCTACAGGAAATCCAGGAATTCCTTTTGCTAGTTTAGCTCCTCTTTATGGAGAAGTGGAGCATTAGAAGACTCAGACCACTGTGGAGTCTTTTCCCCAAGGTGCAGAACTCCACATCCAAGGCAACAGACAGCCTGTCTGACATTCCTGCTCACATCCCCATGGGGGAATAGGACACAGGATCACACAGTCACAGGGAGATCACAGAGGTAGAACACAGCTGTGAAACATCTAGCTGGGCTCCTTTGTGTGGAGTGAAGCAGGGTCCAGCTGTATCTGACACATGGGGTGAAGAGATGAATTGGAAATCATGGCATGAGACAGACTGAATTGCAGTCACCAAAGCAGGAACCAGTTGTGTGTCTTTTTCTTTTTGACACCTCAGATTTGCATCCATCTGAAAAGAGTAAGAGACTTACACAATCTGAAGTGAGCAGTTGGGTGTGGAGAGGATTTTGAGGTGCTTAATGTTGGCTCTTGCCACGTTGCTCTCGTAGAATCGACAGGGGCATCGGTAAGTCAGGCTGACAGGTTTCTCTGCAGGACACGGGGAGAGAAAGGACACATTACTCCCTCTTGCTCTCGGTCAGCAGCACAGAAACACAGACCAAGGCTGACAGAGACTTCTTTCAAATATGCAGGTTAAAAAAATCAATAGAAAAGCTATAGCTTTGGGAGAGCATTTGCCCACAGCTCACAGCACAATCCTTTTACCCCAGTACCCAGCCTTTCAATAAATGTGCATGGGATTTTGGAAGACAAAAGAAGAGGGAGAGAAAATGGAGATAAGTAAAAAAGAGATTAGAATAAGGAGCTGCCCCACTGTGCAGGGATGCTCCTGGTAATTAGACAAGATAAAGGCCAAAAGAGGGGGCACTTGTCTTCAGTGTTGTTCTTGTCAAATGATTTTGACCTGAGGCCAAATTAGAAGGTAGCCAGAAGAAAGCGATTAATTCCAAAGAGTTCAGATCAAAACGGCTCGGCTCAGGTGCAGGCTTTTCACGGGGGACTTACTGGCTGCAGAAAAGCCCTGAGTCTTTCAGGCTTTCCCAGGGCCCAGCAGCTGACCTTTCCCCACTAGAGACAACCTTTACTCCCAGCCGAGATATTCGCACAAGGAGGTGCGACTCAGAGATGCGAGATCACAGTGGTTTGGCAGGAGAGATTTGGAGTCTTTTGAACTCTCAGCCTGTGGCAAAGTAACAGGTGGCACACTCCATATACTAACCAGGAACCACCAGACTGTATGAGACGTTTGTCATTGGCATCACTAGGGACAGAATTAAGTTTAGCCCCCCTAGGCTAAAAATCAGCCATGTATATGGCATGCAGAACAGAGAAAAGCAGCCTAGTGCTGGATCACCACAGCCTCTGATGCAGTCCTGCTACCTGACTTCTCCATGGAAGAACATAATTACTGGCAACCAACTGCACATAAATAAGGTCTTCACTCTGTGTGTAAGCTTCAAAGCTCCGTGCACACTAAAATACGAACACAGAAGCTTTGCCTGGAAGTCTAGAAGGAGCTGCCTAAGATCTTAAACAGTTTCCCAGTGGAGCAGTTTTCAGCCTCTGGGAGGAATTAAATTCATACACCTAACCCATAAGGTCTGGCTCATGCTGTAGATGGTCAGATCTATATCTGACAGGGCTTTAGATCCCACATGGCAATCTGCCACCCTATTTATTTAGCCACACAGGAGCACTCAAAGCATCCAAACCCAGTTCACTTAAAGGCAGATGGAGAGCTAAAGAGCAGGGAAAGTCTTGGAATCCCTAAACTGCCATCTAGAAAGGTGAGAAAAGAGACAGCTTTTCAAAGTGCAACTGATCTGTATATACTGCACATTTACCAATGCCTGTCCCTAGCACATATAACCACAGACAACACAGTGAAATTACCCTGTTCTTAGGAGAGAAAAGCCTGTTTTCCAAGTGCCTCTGGCAAGAAATGGGCCATAATCAGATCCCACAGGCAGATGGGCAAGCAGAGAGGAATTCACCAGTGGGAGTAGAGGTGTTCTAGATTCACACCAGGATCTGAACTATAAATTAACAAAATTGGAGGACTTTTTCTATCAGTTTTATGGCAGTCCAAACAATAATACAATTTATGAGTTAAAAATGGGAGGAGAAGCTCCCATCTGCAGGGGGAAGAGGAAGGAGGGCTGCAGGGTGGGCCTCCTAAATGTGCACTAGACTGGCTAGCGCTACTGTGGAAAGGAAGGAGAAAGGCACTAGGATCTCCCACTTCAAATCTGTGCCTGATAGCTACACAGTAGTGTGTTTGTATTGAAAAGGGAGGCTGAAATTGAATGCAGTCATATAACAAAGTTCAGCACAGCTGCAGTAGAAGTGTCTCTGCATGCTTGTACCAACCAAGTTTAAATAAACTTTACCCTAAACAACACACAAGAGGTGAACTGTTCAGATCTATGACTTGAGAAAGCAATCCTGTCCTCTCTGAGACTAGGAGAGGGACTTTTGATCCCATACAACCTGAAATCAGGAGCAGAGAATGTTTAACCATGACTAACATGTCTGTGAGCCCCAAAGTTGTGTCCTGCCCAAGAAAAGGCACAGAAAGGAAGTGGGGAAGCCCCAGCATTACGGTGTTCTTCTGTCACCCCACTGCAAGGTGGAATGACAACTCCCCTACCAGCACAAGAATTCCTTTGGCATTTCTGTGCCCCTTGCTTGGCAATCCACAACAGGCACTGAGCACCAGGGAGTAACAGCACAGGCACCAACCGGGTCAGCTCTCAGCATCGCTAACAGGGAATCAGTATCTCCTGCCACTACCCCTCCAGCACTCTGGATTGGAGAGTTTGGCTGCAGCTCACTCTGCTCTCAGCAAGGGAAAACTTGTGCATGTGACATCTTCCAACACACGAACCCCTATCATCCTAAAGTGGGAGGAGAAAGGGGCCATTTGGCGGCCATAATTTGGGAAGGGAAGATTTCTGGTCTTACTCTGAGGCTGACAAACATCTTCCCTTCCTCATTTCAAAATTTGAAACAAATTGTTCCATGCACAGTAGAGCTGATTAAGTCAATTATTCTACAGATTTGTACTGCAAAGGTTAATGATCTGTGGGTTCTCTTATGTCTACTAAACACTGAACACAAGCTAAAGCCATTAGCTCAGTAGGACAAATCAGTATAATCTGTTAATTGAACTGTTACATGAAAACACCAATTTTCATGAAACTGATGGTACATAAACCTTTTGAGACCTTTAACTGTCTGGCACATTTGTTTACAATGGGCAAGTACAGTCAAAAGTTTCAGAAGGGCCAGACACTCTTCAGACATTTCAGTGTCATTCCTTCACCTTATTTCCTTCAACAAAAAGAGAACACTTCTTTTGGTCTTGACTAGAAGGGTTCGAAGGGTTCTTAGTTTTGGGTGTTCTGGGTTTTTTAGAATAATAAAATTGTTTTATCGTTTTCTAACTCAAAGCTGAGTTTTGCTGGCTCTGAACACCCACTTTTGCTGGCAAATTCTCTCTAGGGTCAAAGCGCTCACAAAAATCTCCCTCACAGAGTGGCCACTTACCAACGTTGGACAATACATATTTCACCCCATAGGGATCTGCCTTGCCTCACCCACACTGGAATGGGACAGAAAGGGAACAAGTAAGTTGCCAGTTCTGCTGCAAAATTACCATCAGTAACTTGCTGTGCTGACTGGGAAGCTCTGGGCACTTGAATGGAGAGGGAAGCTATATCCAGGCAAGCAGGCTGGGCATAAACAGACAAAAACCATTTGATGGGAGCATCATTTTGCTCCTGTTCATCCAGGGGTGCATTTGTCAATATCAGGAGAGAGATGGAAACTTTTTGAGACTAGAAGAGCTCCATTTCCCTGAGAAGTGAGGCTGTGAGTGGCAGATACAGCTTGATCAGAGTGGCTAGGAAAAATTCAGATCTTGCCTGCCCTCCAGGACAATGTAGCCCTGCAAGCCCTCATCTGGATCGGGGTTGAGAGCACTACATGACAAAAGAGAAACAGGCAAAAAACTTCACTCATCACTGCAAGCCGGTGGGGTCTCTCTCCTTACACTAGTTTTTCTCCAACCCTTTTAACATGTTTCCTTACTCAGGTAGCCAGGTCCCGACACGCTTGCCCTGCCATAAAGATACCCGCTGCCGTTTGCTGCCAGGTAAGTAGTGCTGCCGCGCAGGGAGAGGGCTGGCGTGGGCTGGCCTTGCCACGGGTGGCCCCCGGGTTTGCCACCGCTACCTGCTCGCTCGCTGCCCAGCCCGCAGCCCCCGCGGCGGGGGCCGGAGCCCACCCGGCCGGGCCTGCCTGATGCTGGGGTCTCTCGGGGGCAGCGCCTGCTCCTTGCCGGCTTTCCGTGCGCTTCGCCGGGACGGGGTTGCTGCTGCGACAGTACGGTGGAAGGGCGTCGGCGAAACTATCGGGAGCGATTAACTCTCTCAGGCTAAACAAAGAGGACGCCGGAGGGCATCCTCTGCCGTTCTGGGTGAGAAACACCCAAGTTTCGATCGCCAGAATGGAAGAATAAGACGGGAGCGGAGGATTGAAAGAGCACCCGTTACTTAGCCAGCAAGCTTTCGATGAGGGGACAAAAGGTGGCAAAACTCTGCCAGGCGAGAGGCCAGCCGCAGGAGCGCCCGGGAGATGCCCAGAGGCTGCAGGCAGGACCCCCATCCCGCCACGCGTGCGGAGTGCGGCTGCCCCACGCGGTCCCCGCTCCCCCGTGGCCCGCCGGGTGCGGAGCGAGGCGCAGGTTGCCGCGGCCTCTGGGGATGCCCGCACCCGGCGGCTCCCACGGCGGGCAGCTGGCGAGCAAGCCGGCCAGCTGCCTCTGCGGCCGGGCTGCGGGGGTGACACGCGGGACCGCGGGGGACGGCGTGGTGCGGGCGGACTGTGAGACGGCGCTGCAGCGCGGTGTGTGTGTGTGGGGGGGGACGGACGGACGGACGTCCGCGGTGTCGCTGCCTTAGCGACAAATGCCACCGCGGCAGCGCTCGCCGGTTGCCAGCCCGCGCTTCGCCAGACCTCTCATCAGCGCACCTCTCCTCTCCGCGCCGCCCCCCCCCCCCCCCCCCCGAAACCTCTCCGTGCCCCTTCACAGGGGGTGCGGTAAATTCCTGCTGAGTGACCACTTTGGCTCAGCTCAGCCTTGATGGAAGAAAGATAGATCACGACACAGAAAACCGAACAACCGCCTGTTTCTCATTTCTTGTAACTTTGAGGGCTGAGTTTTTAAAGGGGAAATCGATATGCATATTTTGCAACCAAACCACCTCCCTGCAGACCGAGCGCTGTTGAAAGTCTTCCCCCAGCCGATTTCAATCTGAGCTAAATTTGGCAAAGAGGTGCGCTTTGACCAGCCTTCTTCTGAAAAAAGAGAGGGAGGGATGGAGAGAGCCTGCCTGCTCCCAGCTATCGCTCGGGGCGCGCCAGGAGCCGGAGCCGCGGCCGGCGGAGCGGGAGAGATGCGGGGAGAGGCGGGAAGAGCGGGGATTTCCGCGGGACCGTGACTCCCGGCCGGGCTCGCCGGCGCCCGCAGGCAGGAGCGGTGCAAGCAGCGAACAGGCGGGGAGGGCGGCGGCGGACCGGCAGCTCACTTACCCTCCGAGAGGGAGATGATCGCCAGGGCAAAGGCGAGCAGAGCCAGGGCTCGGAGGTCCATGCTGGGGCTGCTGGCGGGGCGCGGGGCAGGCTCTGGACTGCTGGTCCCGGCGGCTGCGGCGCTCTGCTGGAGTCCCCTCCTCCCCTCCCTCTATAGAGGGGCCGGGACCGCCGGGGCTGGGGGAGGGGAATCAGGGGGAGTAGCTAGCCTATGATTTATTGCCCGTGGCATGTTATTACATCCTTCCTCTGTTAAAAATGCTTGGAAAGGATCCAAAAGAGCGAGGGCTCCACTCTTCGCTCCGTCAGCCCGGCAGTCTTCCCCCAGGCTAAGCGCTTGCCCCAGCAGCCCCGCGACCCGAGCCCCCCGTGGGACGGTAGCGGCGGTGCGCTCCCCCCTCCGCCGCGTCCCTGCCGGGGGGCCGGGGGGCCGGGGGTCCCGCCCGCCCGGCGGCTCAGGGCTGCGGCGCGGCGGGGAGCCGGGGTCACGGCCACTCCGGACAGCCCGGGCCGGGGGAGAAAGTTTCATCACCAAACTATGCCAGCCCCGTCTCTTTCTGGGCACCCCGGCCCCACTGCTCTTGAACCAGAGCGGCTAGAGCTGGGGCAGCGGTGGGGACGCATCCTGTAATGTCTCGACATTACACCAGGAAGAGCAGAAAAATCCCCCTTCACTCCCCTGGGCGCGAATCCAGATTTACGCTGGCGCCCTGGACACTAGATCCAGCGCCTCATACGAAGCATCTTCACAGAAGTTTATCTGTGGATTTGGGGGGAGGAAAAGAGAGAGAGGTAGGCTTTCAGGTTTTGCCTCCTCATGCTTGGCTGGAAATACCACCTTTTCCCCGTATTAGCTGAACTTAGTTGTACATTTGCTGCCACATCTCGCCTCCTTTGTATTGCAGATGCCGTCGGGCTCCCTGGCACCTCGGCTGAAAGCCCCGATGGCGCTGCAGAGCCGGGAGGTCTGAGGGGTGCCGCTTACCCCGAGCTGTTACAGCTTTGTCAAGTGTAATTGACTTAAGCATGTCCCCTCTGTCTGCAGTCCAAGCCCACGGGGCCCTGTTTGCTGCCATTCAATACTTTAAATAAACATCGAGGCTTTGATTGAATTTGGACCTCTCGGCTGCATTTAAAACAGGCGCCCTCCAGTAAGGTTGGGGCAGAGGGGGGGCAAGTGGGTAGAGCTAATCCTGGTCTGGAAGTGTTTAAAGAACAGGTCCCGTGATGCCCACCAAAGACAGCAGCATGGTCGGTTTATACCTTGGGTAACTTCAAACTCTGACAACCACAGCTCATGAGGTTGGAAACAGGGGCCCAGATCCTGTACCTGTGCTAACCTGGGGCTGTTCCACTTGGAGAAGCTTGTTTCTAATGCTGGGGGAAATGCTTGCATTGACACTGGGCCATGAACTGGCTGCCAGCCCAACACATGCCAGAGAGGCCAATTCTCACATCCAGCTCCCCAAATCTAGTTATTTGTATTTGTCTGTTTTTGCTTACCAAGGAGGCCTGAATTTTAGGCTAACCTTGCTCTCCCTCTTTCCTTTAGGTGAGCTAGCACAGGAGCACAGAAACCTGGTGGACTGAAAGGGCCAATAACCATGACTAGTGCTGTGAGCCTGGCCACAACCGCTGTAACAGTTCTAACATTCTGCAGGCATGGGAGAAGCAAATTGTAATCCCACTGCAAACACTGCTAGGGAGTACTGCTATCCCGCCACTGCTGCACCTGGCACCTGGGGACATCCACATAGGTGAACAATCTGTGTGCCTTTGCTGTTGCTGCAGGCACAGAGAAAACTAGTCCAAAGATCTAATCAAAGAGACTGTATGGATGCAGAATGAGGTCAGAGTTAAATCTGGGTAGCAGTCTCCTCCTCAGCATCCACAGACATGCACAGGTGTTGTAACTGAAGGGAAAACCTGGTGGGATCTAGGAAATGCCTGGACAGACCTTCAGAGCTAACTTGAAGTTGCAGCACACAGATACATGGGCTCTCCCTACGCCTTTGGATAACTGAGTGGAGCCGGCTTCAAAGAGGGCTCGCACCCTCCTCCTTACAGCAGGAGGATGCCTCGGCTGTCCTTCCCCTCTGCCGCAGCCGCCTCTGCGTGGGAGACCGTGTCCCGAGGAGAAGGGAGTCGGAGTACCCGGGACACCGCACCCGGCAGCATCCCTCACCTCCTCCCCGACGCCCCGGGCAGCGGCGCGGAGCTGCCCCCCGCGGCGGGGCCGGCCCGGGAGGGGGTAGCCCTGCGGGGCTGGGGCGGGGGGGGGTGGAGGGAGAGGGGTCTGGGGTCCTGGGGTGCAGCCGCCGCCAGCACTCGGGTGCTGGGCAAAGTCCTCGGGGAGCTTCGCATCGGAGGAAAAGTGACGGGGGCGCTGGACCGCCCCGCTTCGACGGCTGCCGGATGAACCGCTGGTGGTTTGTGTCCCGTTTCCTTCCTCCCCCCGCATGCACACACCTGCACACACCCACACCTACACACACCCACACCTACACACACCCGAAGCCATGCTCTCTACAGAAACCAGTGAAACCAAAGCAAGCGTCGGGGTTACTTTGCCAGGCAATTTTACCGGACCAGCCCAGAATTTCCCCGGGTGGGTACCCTCCAGCGGGCGAGTTTTGTTCGGGGTCAGGGCAAACCCAAGCCTGCAAAGCCCGAGAGCACTGAACAGGGCTGTGGGGCGAGCGAGGGACGAGGGATCTGCCCGACACGGAGCCCTATACCGTGGGGCTGCCTTCACGACCTCACTGGTGTGTCCCCGCTACTGGGATGAAGAAGAGATCGTACAATAACCGAGCTTGTCTGAACACCGATCGATTTCTTTTTTTTTTTTTTTTTTTTTTCCCCCGTCAAGAACAAATTGCTGGCTACGGTACAACGATTCTGAGTTTAAGATTTAAATAGCAACAAAACAACAAAACAAGGAAAAAAAACCCTCAACGGGGGTCTTATGATTTTGCACTCCTTCCCCCTCCCCCCAGTCTAGAATATAAACTCGGGGAAATCACAACTAATTGTACGTTTAAAAGGGAAGCCAAATGACTCGGCAAGTGTTTAATTTCCTTAAAAGTTCGTTTCCACTTAACGTTAACTCCCACATAATTGACTAGTGTTTATCTGAATGTTCAAAAAATCTAGTCTGCACCCCTCGATGAGCTGGGTGGCTGAATCCCACCCCCGCTCTGTCCCAACAAGCTGCAGCCAGAACTCCTTAAAAGCCAGTAAATTTAATCTTTTATCTGAATCCTAACAAAGAAAGGGTGAATTCAGAAATCTTAAATAGACCTACTGTTGATTTCAACACAGCTTGAGAGAGCCTTTTAAAATAATGCAATATTCCAGATTTTGAGTGTGTTTGTATCAAATTACATTTCCTCTTAAACAAGGAGATGGCAACATTTCTGTTGCTTAGAATTTTAGACTGGCATAACCCAGCAATGAAATCATTACTATCTGGAGTTGTTTTAAATCCCCCCAGATTATGTCTAAAGTAAGCCATTTCTGGCCAGTACAACAAAACTCATTATTATTAAGAAACTTTTTCGTGAGTTAAGAAATAAACTAAATGTTCTCAGATTGGGAAAATTATACCCTGTTTTCATCTTGTTCTCACTAATACTATTTGACTGTGATATTTCTTAATATTTCCTGGACTTATTATCTGTAACTAAATGCATCATTTTTTGGACTGTCATAGTGTTCACACAGAATCTATGTTTGAGTTAAGATTCATAGTGCATCTCAGCAATTTGAAGTAAAATACATTACAAACCAAGCATGTGAATTCCAGGAAATTCAGGGATCTAGAGTTAAGGATAATTACATTTAGAAATCTATATGTATTAGTCTGTGAGACTGCACAACTGAGATACTAAATCGACCTTATCTCTGCCTTCTTGTAACATCATCCACTAACCCACAATATAATGACCACAGCACTTTAATATCTCTGGTTTTAGATGCAGCTTTTTTTTTTCTCTTTTTTTTTTTTTTTTCAATATATGTTTTTAAAAGCATGCTTAAGCTCCTTATTTCCACATAGTGTGATGGGATGGGAAGGAAATGAAAGGAGCTAAAGTGTTAAAATCAACATTAACTATTACATGGTATTCTTAGGGTGCAGAGTTATGACTGCTTGGAGATTCTTTTGTAACTTAACTCTGAAATGATTTGATTTATCATACTTCAAAAAAAAAAATAATCAAGGCATCCATTTAAAGTTCTTTTTTCTTCAGTTACTGACTACATACCCTTAGGTTTACCTCTCCGTCTTACTGTTATTCTCGTTTTGGTTAAGAATTCCTTTTCTTAATAATTGTCTTATTCTTGTGATGTTCCTACTTTTCTTTTTTTTTTTTTTTTTTTTTTTTTTTTCTCCAGGACTATTAATAAGGTGAAAGTTTGAAGGCTTTGCAGTCTTGCTGCACATCAAAGCAACAGCTAGGACAACCCTAGAGCAGTCTGAAGATCTTTCTTGACTCCTGTCTTTGACCTTCTTCTTTCAAGTGCTAAGACTATTTTCCCTCCTTATTTCCATGTCAGGGTTCCAAGCTCATCCTTTACAGGTGTAGCAGACAGGACTTTTAGTTTTAAGTATTTGCAACAAAGCAGTATAAATTAAGGTAAGTGACTTGCTGGATTTGTCTGATCTGCAGAAGGGAAAAAACAATCTCCCCAGTTAACCAGGTTACAGACAAAATTGCGAGAATCTGTTCCCATTGCAGTAAAATAGACTCAAACATTCATGTACTCAGAGATATCCATAATGTGTGCTGGCCCCAAAAGATTCCTTGGAGGGCAGAGGGAGAGATCAAATAAAGGTCAAGTGAATAACTGTTTATAGATGGTTAACTAGAGTGACAGAGAACTGTGGTAGCTGCTTTTCTAACAGTGTTTAAAGGTTTGAGCTTGCTTCCCTGGGAGTTCTGCATGTGATTTCAATGGATGTGAAATTGGCCCTTAAGGGAAGAATTCATCTCTCCTCTTATCCCAGCAGAGCACATCCCAAGTTGGTCTAACCTTTCATGAAGAAATTCAAAACGTGATAAATTGTGCTTGGGTTTAAGTTTTGTTATGAACATAGCTCTTGGCCTCACTGTGAGGAGTTTCCTGCAAGCTTGGGGTAAAGCAGAGCCAAGTTTGGCGTGTTCTGCCTCTCTCCCTGAGCACCAAGCTGACACCGTGGA